AAATAAAGTAGCTATTTAAGAGTTTATATTAACTTCCTGCTTAAAAGAACTTTTCTTATACTATTTTAATATATTATATAAAGTTATAAATAGACTTAAATATAATAAATAAGCATTCTTTTTTTTTAATATGCTATTTAAAATGCTTTAAGACTAAACTCTTAAAATTCCTCTTTTACTTACTAAAAGACCTTTTATACTATTTTCTCTTTATTTATTATCTTACTTAAAGAGATAAAGAGAGTTATTTTTAAGATGCTAATATATTATTACTGCTTTAACCTTTATGCCTTAAGCTAGCTATTTAAGACCTTCTCCTTTATATTATAAATATTAATAAAATCCTCTGCTCTTATAAGGTTAATAATTAGTTATAGCTATTAGTCTTAGACTAAATAATCTTTATATTTTTTTAATAATAGCAAGGATTATAAGCTTAATATACTAATAGTAATAAGCTTAATTTCTAGTCTAGCTATTATATTTTTAATAGTAATGCTATTCTTTAGCATGCTTTATCTTTAGGCTATATTATATATTAGTCTTTAATATTAACTAAGTGTTTATAAAGGCATGCAGACTTTATAACTATAAATATTTATATTACTAAAAGGTAATAAGATTATATTATTAGCTTTAAGGTTTTTATTTATTATATATAAAAAGCTATTATCTTTTTTATTTTTATCCCCCTAGCCCTCTAACTCCCTCTAGCTGCTATTTTATAAAAGCTATTAATAAAAACCTAGTCTAATAATTAGGTTATTAAATAACAGCACCCTTAATTATCTTAATTAATAACTAGCCCTTAGTTTATTAAGGTTAGCTAATTAGTAGTTATTAAATATAATCCTATTATACTATAATTTTTACCTAAGATAGCAGCAGTAAGTAAGATTATTTATAATTATTAGCTAATTCTTTTAGGTACTAGTACTTAGTAATATTTAGCAGAAGCCAGGCTTATAACCTATTAAAATATATATTAATTAGCTTATCTTCCTCCTTTAATATAAATAGGCATATAGCTTTTACTTATGCTTATTACCTAGGTTAACCCTTGCACCTTATATATAGTACTTCCTATATTAATGCCCTTATTTTCAGTAATACTACTATAGCTAACTTAAAGACCAGTTAGAAATATAGCTTAATAATAAAATAACCTAAAAGAGAGTATTACTACTTGCTTAGCAGCAGCTGCTAGTTTAAAAATTAAGCCTATAGCTATTAATATACTAAGTTTATAAACACTCCCCTTTTTAAAAAAATAAAAAGACTATTTAGTTTAAAAACACTAGTTAAAGCTTATTATTAACCTTATAGGCGCTAAAGACTTACTAAGCATTTATAATATAAAAGAGAAGGTCCTAAAAGACTAGCTAAAGGCATAAAGAAGTAAGTAATAATAGTATATTAAGATCTTAAAAATAATATTATCTATCTTATTAAGCAAGATAATAATAAAAAAAAGGACTATTTAATATATTTTCTAGTATATTAAAGAAGAATTTTAAAAATTAAGACTTAAAGCTTTATAGATAGTATATAAAGAATAAAAAAACTGCACTTTTAAGAACTTTTAGTATATATCTTTACCTAAAGGATTAAGACTATATAAGAAAAATTCCTTTAAGCTAGCAGTTAGAATAAGCTGCTTAATAGTTATCTTATCTTAAAGTTTATTAATAGCTTAAGTAATTAATACCTTATATAATATATTAATTTTTAAATAAACTATAGTATTAATGCCTTTTTAATACTAAATAATATTATTTAAAGTGCTAAAGTTAAAGAGGTAAAATAAAAAAGCAGTATAATAATATAAGCTTTATTAGTATAAAAAAGATTTATATTAATAAAAGATAAAAACTTAATAATAATAAGAATACTAAAATGCATATATTATAATAAGATATACTATATAAAAGAGAGGTGCTAAAAGCTATACTTAAAAAAAAAGAAAATAAAAAGACTATAAATAAAGGCAGGGATATTTTAGTTAAAATACTATATACTTAAATTAAATAATATTAAATAAAGAGGAACTAGCTTTATTTTTTAAATTAAAAATAAAAAGTAATTATTTTATTATATCTTAAGATATTATCTAGCTATAGTTTAAAAAGTATTTAAATTCTAGATTTAAGATATAATTAGCATATTATATACTATATTAAAGAATTTATTTCTAGCTCCTTCTAGCTATATAATAGCATACTTAATAGTATTAAAGACTTAAAAATTATAGTTAAAGGAATTAGAAATATTACTTAAAAGTATATTAATAAGAATTAATCTATTACTATTACTTTTACTAAAGTCTTATATATACTTAATCTTAAGCTAAATCTAGTCTTTATATTATAGCTTTTTAATTAAAGGGGGAGAATAAAGGTTATTTAAGACAGCTAGACTATAAGAAAAAGAGAAATAAAGATTACTATAAGAAGATTTAAAAATCTCTTTATCTTATAAATAGATTTAATATTAATATAACCCTTTATTTCTTATACCTTATATGCCTTAGCTTTTTATATTATTAAACTATAAATATAGCTTTAGTATAACTAAATAGGCTATTTTAGCAGTAATAATCTTATTTAGTTAAAAAATATAGTAAATAGTATAAACGCTATATAAAAATACTGTTTTTATAAGCTATGCTTTTATAAAAAAGGATAAGAGAAAAGCTATATTAAAGGTAGCTATAATAAGCAGAATATATTAAAGATATTATTTATATTAATATATATAGCCCCTTTTATATAATAAGTTATAATAATATTAAAAATAGGGGCACTAATATAGGAAGTACTAGTACATAAGGTCACAGGGGTTAACCGTCTGAAAAGCATAAGTAGGAGCTAGACTCCCGCCTAGATAAAGTGGTAATAATAGAGACAAGCCAAGCTATTAGACATACATTTTAATAAATAAAAAGTAATATTAGATTATATTAGTTAATAGCTATAGTAGATTTAGTAAGAGTAAGGCTATTAAGAATAAGCAGGGCGTATAGGAGTTTATATAATACTTTATATAAGTCTTAAAAGGCAGGGAACCTTAAGGCTGCTGCTATTATATTATATATATAAATAGTATAAAGGAATTTAATAATAATAAGCTTAACTAGTAGGCTATAAAGCATAGCACTATATTAAAATTATTATTAATAAAATAATATTAAGTAAATAGCCTTATAAAGAACTTTAATATTATTATATAAAATAAGCTACTGCTAATAATAATAAAGAGGAAGGTTTTAAAATAATACTAATTAAAAATCTTAAAAATAGTTAACTACTTATAAAATCATAGCCTATATAAAGCACTTAATAAAACACCCTTTAAGCCTATTTTTAAATAGCAGCTAAATATTTTAAATATTAAGATTATAAATATAATAGCCTAGCACCTTACTTTATAAGTATAGTATAAAAAACTTAATAAGAAAGGCATTAAATATACCTTACTTAGTTTTATAAAAAATACTATTTATTTAACTTTTTATATTAAAAAGGAAGGTAATAAGTTTATTTAATATATACTTTAAGTTAGATATTATTAAAGTTATAATATTATAATTAATTAAAACTTAAATAGATAACCTTTTTTAAAAGACCTTAAAAGAAAAATAATATTAAAAGATAAGCTTAGTCTAATTTATAATTAAGGTAGCTAGCTATATTAGGAGATACTCTAGCGCTTACTATACTTATTCTTACTTTTATACTTATACTAAAAGACTTTAAGCGCCTAAAAACATTAAATAAAGTCTTAAAACACCTTAAACTTTAATACCTTATTTATAATTATATCTTACTATATAATATGCTTATACTTATAGCCTTAGCTAAATCTTATATTAATAATATTAAGCTAGTAACTTATAAAAAAGCCTAATATAGCTTTTTTTATAATAAATAGTAATAAGTAATATTAAAAGAGATATAAGCCTTAAAAGAAAATAAAACCTAAGAACTAGTTAATCTAAATCTAACCTTAAATATCTTATATAATAAGTAGATATATAAACTAAAAAGAGGTTTAGAAAATTAAATTATTAAATATAAAGCTTATTAAGTAGTTAAAGGCTTTAGATAAATTATAAAAATTAACTATACTAAGACCTTTATATTAATTATTAAACCTATAACCTATAAGGCGCTTTTTATAATAGCTACTGCTTTAGATTTAAAAATAAAATAAATAAATATTAAGACTGCCTTTTTTTATAATAAAGTTAGAGGATATTTATATTAAATAACCTATAGGCTTTAAGCATGCTAATAAGATCTATAAGCTTAAAAAAGCTTTATATAAATTAAAGCAGGCTTTATAAGTTTAATATAAAACTCCTACTAACTACTTATTAACTTTTAAGTTTTTATACTATTTTAGCTAATAGTAGGCTATATATAAAAAATAGTATTTTTATTATTATTTATATAAATAATATACTTTTAATAAAAAAGGAAAAGTTAAGGATTATTAAGATTAAGGATGCTTTTTATTAGCAGTTTTTTATAATTAACCTTAATCTTTATTATTATTACTTAAGAATCTAAATATATTATAATAAATTAGTAAAAACTATTATCCTTAATTAATAAGGCTATATTTAAAAAATCTTATATTAATATACTATAATAAACTATATACTATTATCTACCTTAATAGTAGAAAAAAGGCTATAAAAAGCTAAAAAAAACTATATAAGTTAACTAAAAAAAAAAAAAAAGTGTTAAATTATATATTAATTAGCTTGCTTATCTCTCTTTATCTAGATAGGAATATAGCTCTTACTTATGCTTTATAGTTAGTTAACCCTTATAACCTATATATACTAGTACTTCCTATATATAATGCCCTTATTTTTAACACTCCTACTTAATAGCATAAGAAGTTAAGAGCAAGAGCTCCTACTGCTTTTATACCTTTAGTAAGGCGTTTTAGCCTAAAACCTACTCTTATTAAACTAAGTGCTATATACTATTCTAGCTAGCATCTTCTATATTAGTAATCCTCCTTAAACTTAAGGCTTTATAGAATTTTAAGAACCGGTCTTTCTTTAAGGGCTTAGTTAACCTATCTGCTACTATCTTATATATAAGGATATATTCTAGTGCGACCTCTCTAGCCTTGACTTTTTTATAAATAAAATAGTATTAGGTTTCTATATATTTAAAGCCGTTATAGTTTATTAAATTCTTTATAAGTGTAATAGCTCCTTAATTATTATAGTAAATAATAACTGCGCTTAAAGACTTAGTTATTACTAGAGTTATTAATAAAAATAATAATAATTCCCTTAGTAAAGTTAATAATAGCCTTATTATATATTCCCCTTAAAGATTAGTCTGTAATTTTATAAAGAGTCTTTATAACCAGATCGCCTCCTTTATTATATTAGTTTAAGCTATATACTTAGCTTTACAGCTTAACAGGGCAGTTATCGCCTGCCTCTTAAATAACTAGCTAATCTTTCCACTGCCTATATTAAACATATAGCTAGAGGTTAATCTATAAGTGTCTAAATCACTAGCCTAGTTAGAGTTACTATAGCTATAAAGTAGCTGCAGCTCTCCTTAAAAGACTAAGCAGAGATCTTTAATGCCCTATATATATTTAAAAATATGCTTAATAGCTTGCCTATATATATTATTAAGGTTGCTAAAGAATCTACTAACTACTAAGACAGCATAGGCAAGATCTAGCTGCATTCCTAGCATTAAGTATATTAATAACTTTACTATTAACTAATATTCCCTCCTTTTATTTAGCTAGTATAAGTGCTTATCTCCTGCTTTTTATAGCCTTTTTTCTACTATTAAGGTTAGTATTAGTGCATAATCTATTATATTATATTAGTAGAGGATTTTTTAGATATAGCCTTATTAGTTAAGGATAATTAGTTATGCAGTCTTATTATAGTAGATTTAAATGCCTAAATAGTAATAGCATGCTCCTAGATCTGTTATAAAGAAATGTTAGTAAAGAGCTTCCTTTAGGTTAGTAATCCTGCTTTTATCTTTTTTAATAATAAGTAAGTTATTTATGTAAATTATAATAAAGATGCTATTTCTAGTATATAACCTACTATTAGCAGATATAGTATAAAAGCTAAGAGTAAGGAGGAAGTCTATAAGAGTCTTATACTAGACCCTAGGAGCTTGTTTTAAACTATATAACGCCTTATTTAACTTGCAGACTCTTCTTATACTGTCTTTAAATCTAGTCAGCTATTCTATATATATATCTTTATTAACGTTTCTATATAGAAATGCTATTTTTACATTTATTTATTTAATCTCTAGGTCTAGGGCTGCTGCTATAGTAAAGAGTGCCTTATAGGTTATTAGTTTTACTACTAATATAAAAGTCTCTATATAATTAATTCTAGCAATTTATTTAAAGCCTCTAATAACCTAGCGTGCTTTATATTTAATAACCTGGTTGTCTGGTCCCTGTTTTAACTTATAGACCTATTTTCCTTATAGTATATTTATATTAAGGTCAAGGTCTATAAGCACCTAGGTGTTATTATCCTGCAGAGCCTGTATCTTGTCTGCTATCCCCTTATGCTACTTATTATAAAAAAAGCTGTGTTTAGCTTTTTTATATATTATTAGCTTAGTGTCTTTAAAGTATAACTTAGCTAAGGCAGTAAGGGCAAGGATATTATATAAGGAGACTTAGCTTTTTAGTAAGTAGTAGAGGTTAAGGTGTCCTAGGACTTTATCTTCTTAAAATTATACTCGCTTTAGTTTAGCTGCCAGTGCTCTTATAGGTAGTACTTTAATTAAGGACTAGACTAAGCTGCTTTTACAGTGCTGTTTTCCACCTGTTATTACCTAAGGGTAGTTATCTATATTATCTATCTAGGTTCTTATAGAGCGTATAATAGGCATTATTACTAGCACTAAGATAGTATTAGACTTAAAGTGTATATTTAAAAAGCTAATTACCCTACTACTAGGGGTAAGGAGTTAGTAAACTATATTACTAATAAACCCTAGGAGAGTGTATTTAACTCCTTTATTATCTAGCTTTTTATATTAAGCCTGCAGGATTAGATACTAGGCTATAGTTCTTACTATTTAGATATTAAATACATTTAGCTATTAACTAAAAACATATTTAAAAGGCGTCTTATTAAGTGCCTTATAAGGGCTGTAATTATATAAGTAATTAACTATTTCTAGGACTTTTAACTAGTATTACTTTAGCACCTTCCTCCTTATTAGTATAAGTAGGAGTTTATTATATATTATAATATTATAGTTTTTTATAACTCTATTTAACTAGTGCTGCTTTATAAGTAAGGTTTTAAGACTAGTGCTTTACTAGGCAGCCTAGTAGTTAAATTTATAGCTATTAAACTCCTTTACTTTATTTATATAAATAATATAATAGTAATGTCTTTAAGGTTCTCTGCCTTTAAGGAATTATATAAAAAACTATATAAATTCTTAAGCACCTTATTTATTCTTAATAGCTCTACTGCTATTAAATCTGCTATAGCTATTTACTAAAGTAATCTAGTATCTTTCCTTATTATAACTAGTAATATAAAATAGACTATAGATATTAATATAAATAATGTCTTTAATATAGTCTCTTTAGTATAGCTAGCCTTAATAGGGTTTTTCTCTTATCCTTTTATAAAGGCATAGCTTATAAAGGTAATATTCCTATATAGTGTTTATGCTATTTACCAAGTCTTTTAGTCTAGTTAGGTTATTACTACCTAAGTAGCCTATATAGTTATACTACACCTATAGCTATAGGTTAACTATATAGGACACTAGCGTTAGTGTTAGGAAGAGCTTAATTAGTGGCTATAGCTATAGGTTAGCTGTATAAGACACTAGGGCTTATATTAAGAGAGAGTCAGTCTGCAGAATAAAGAGGTTTTCAAAACAGCAGGCTATAATCTTAGTCTTGTCTTTTTTTATTATCTAGCTGTCTTAGGCTATATGCATCTCCCCCCTTAAATTAAGGAGCTAGGTAATAGAGACTAAGTTAAGGCTAAGTTCTTGGGGTAAAGAGTACTTTCCTTAATATAAGTATAACTAATAGGTTTTTATTTATACATCTTTAAATAACTATCCTAATACCTTTTACAGTAATCCTAAAGTCGCTAATGCTACTAAGCGCCTTAGTATATAGTTAAAAAGACCCTAGGATAAATTATTTTTACTATAAAGTTATATATTAGCTATAGCTAGAGTCTAGAATCTAGACAGCACTTAGGCTGCAGTAAGAATAAGGCATCTTTAAAAGGTTATAAAGTAATTGTCTTTTATTATAGTTATCCTTAATATAAGTAAAGCAGGACTATTATCCTCCTGCTTTATAGTTATATTTAGGTTTATATATATTAGGCAACCCTACTAGCCTCTATAATTATCCTAGCAGCACTTCTTCTTTAGATATAAGTCCTAGCACCCCTCTTTTATATAGCGTGTTTTACTATAGTATATGCACTTAAGCACCCTTACTATTATAAAGTCCTTATTATCTATTAGAGCGGCTTGCTTCTGTGTTAGCAGGGCCTGCATTATTACACTGCTTTTCTATCTAACTTCCTTAGCCTTAGCGCTTTAAATAACATTATCTAGTGTTAGCAGAGTCTTAACACTATAGTTTAACTAGAAGTTAATACACTAGACCAGGTACTGTTTATTAAGTCTATTAATAAACTTTAGGATTAGGTAGCTGTTTAAGAGCTTATATTAGCTTCTAGCTTAAAGGAACTTCTCCTAGATAGTCTTAATCCTCTAGGCGAATTCTTAAACAGACTTAAAGGGATTTAGTATACACTCTTCCTATTCTTTATATGCAGTTTATAATGCCCTTAATCCTAACTTTAAGAATTCCTCTTTAACTTACTAAAAGACCCTTTAGACTGTTTTTTTATTACTTATTATCTTACTTAGTAAGATTAAGAGTGTTATTTTTAAAATACTAATATATTATTATTACTTACTTTTTTAGGCGTTAATTTATATATCTAGCACCTTTTCTTTTATATTATAAACAGTAAGCAGGTTATCTCCTCTAATAAGATTAATAATAAGCTTAAGCTAACATTCTTATACTAGATAGTCCTCTCTCTTCTTAAGTAATAGTAAGGAATGCAAGCTTAAGGCATTAATAATAATAGGTTTAATCTTAAGATATGCTATAGCTGCTTCTTTAGCTATAATGCTTTCCTTAAGATTACTGTATTATTATAATATATTTTATATTAGTTATTAAGTTATTTATAATAGCATATAGACTTTATAACTATATATATTTATATTACTAAGAGGAGACAGTATTATAGCCGTTTTATTATTAAAGTCCTTATTTATTAGCCTAAGGGTTAGTTGCCTTACTATATTTAAGCTATTACTATTTTTATTATCTTGCTTATCTTCTTATAATCCCTAGTTATCCTAGCCACTTAAAGGAGGGCCAAGGCCTAAGGCTCTTAATTTAAAAATCAGGTTATTTAATAACAGCAATCTTAATTATCTTAGTTAACAGTTAACTCTTAACCTATCTAGGCAAGTTAATTAGTGATTATCTATTATTATAAAGTTGCATAGTGACATTTAGCTAAGATATAGCAGGGATTACAGACTAGCAAGATTATTAGCTAATTTCAGGGAGGTATTAATACTTAGTAATAATTAGTAAAAGCCAGGCTTATAACCTATTAAATTATATATTAATTAGCTTGCTTATCTCTCTTTATCTAGACAGGAATATAGCTCCTACTTATGCTTTACAGTTAGTTAACCCTTATAACCTATATATACCAGTACTTCCTATATATAATGCCCCTATTTTTAATAAAAAGAATACTACTTAATAATAAAATTACTAATATATTTAATACTAGGTATTAGACTAAACCTAGCCTATATTATATTTATTATTAGTTAATACTTAAGTAACCTTAATAATATATATAAGCAGGCTATAAAGCAGATACTTAGGTATATTTAAAGGATAAAAGACTTATACTTTATATTTTATAATAACCTTTATTTACTTTATAATTATAGTAATTTTAACTAGGCTAGTAATTTAAATACTTAAAGATTAACTTTTAATTATATATTTAATATTAGTAATAGTAAAATTAGCTAGTTTTTAAAAAGATAAGTAATTA